CAGCTCTCCGAGCGGGACTTCGGGCACGTCTGCCGCGGGGTGGCCGAGTCCCGCTCCCTCGCGCAGCTCAACCTCAACCTGGGCATCGTCTCCAACATCAACCGCGTCAAGCAGCTGGCCGAGGCCCTGAAGACGAACCGCTCCGTTCAGTCCCTCTTGTGAGTACAGTGGGGCGGGGGCTGCCGAGGGGGCCCCGGCCCACTCCCGGGCGGGGACGGCTCTTTCGGGGGTCTGTCGGCTCGGGGCCAGCCCCTGAATTTGAGTCTTGTCAGAGGGAAAATGCCCTTGACGCTGCAGAGGAAAAGCCCCTGCCCGTCACCTGGCTGGGAGGGAGCCCCCGCCGGCTGGGCACGGCCCTGCCTCTCAGTCCCGGTCCTCCCGCCCCTTCAAGGCTGGCATCCCCTGCATCCCTCGTCCCGGCCGGGAGAGGAGGGCCACCGTAGCGGCCAGCCGACCCTAGCGACAGAGGCTTCCCAAATCTTTCTGCCCACTTGGGGTTAGTATTTGTCATCCACCTCATTTTGTCTGCTTCTTCCTCCCTGTCAGGTTAGTTAGCCTCCAGGAAGAAGGCTCCGTAGTAATTTTCCTTTTTACCTGCACAGCCTCCATGGGAGTCCCCTGACAGATGCAGGCTTGGCCCTCCTCAACCCTGCTCTCTCCATCCACCCCTCGCTGGTGGCTCTGGATCTAGGAGACTGCATGCTGGGTGATGAAGGCATCAACCTTATCTGTGGGCTCCTGCCGCCTGATGGGGCCAAGTCTGGTAAGCACCAGGGGCTGTGGGCTGCTCAATGACTGGTGGCGCTTTCACATAGATCAGATGTATGCAGCACTAAATCCTCAGCCCCAGAGAAGGCGGACTCTGTGGTTTGCCAGGGCTGAGGATTTCTTTCCCCTAACTTAAGAAAAGCAGATAAGCCAAGCAATAGATGAGTGGTTTCCTTGGGCAGGTTTGGGCTTTCTGCTACTGATCTGTCCTTCTGGCAGTTTGGAGCTCAGGAACGAACAGATTGCTTCTGGTTCATGTCAGCAGCATTTGAAACTGGAGGAGAGGACAGCTTGGACTTTGAATTTATTATTTTGCATTTGTGTGTTGATAATCACCATAGATAAATACATTGTGTGCCCCTACCTCAGCACTTAGATTTATTATCAGTGCCTGGGAGTTGTCCCTGCTTGCAGGTGCACTCCATGAGTATGTAGTTGCATGGTCACAGCCTTCATGCCAAGACTCCGGTCTTTGTAGGGAATGATCTTTGGTGGTGTGAGGCCAGTGACCCACTCAAGCTGAGATCTGGCATGTGCTGAGATAATACCGCTCCTTTCTTCTGACCCTCAAAGTGCTTTCCACCTTTTCCCAGCACCTCCTCATCTGTATGCACGATATCACTGATGCTGTTTTCTCTCCTGGCCACCCCTCTCAGCAGGCTTCAGAGCCTACTGTCCCTGTTATCCTCTCTCCAGCCTGTCACCTCATGCAGCCTTCTTTGCCCAGTCAGTTGTCTCACACACCCCTTAGTTTCCATTGTGTTTGCTATTTAGGATAAGCAGGATGCAGATTGGGAGAGCAGATAAATGGGGCAGTTGCAGCACGGTTAAATGAAGGGCCACAGCTGAAGGCAGTGAAATATTTCACTGATCACTGAAATATGTGATGACAGTTGTCAGAGCAAACCAAGCCCTTAAGCCTTTCAGAGTACAGGGGACACAACCCAAAGCTGTTCTGGTGAGCTGAACAAGTTCTGTGACTGCTTTGGGGACCCTAAGGCTCTGGTTTGGCTTCTCTCTCTTCTCCAGGCCTCAAAGAGCTAACACTGAGTGCCAACCCAGGCATCACAAGTAAAGGCTGGGGACGCCTAGCCATTGCAGTGGCTCACAGCTCACAGCTCCGTGTGCTGAACCTGGACTACAACCCCCTAGGTAAGCTGGGGGCCGGGGAGGAGGAGCACTCCCGCCTGTCAGCGTTTGTGTGATTTGCACCAGTGGGTGGCCGGGGACCAAGCTCTGGAAAGGCAGTAGAACATCAACAGTAGGACGGGGCAGTTCCTTGCAGAGGTGCCCTCTGTTCCCCAGCAGCAAGTTCACCCTGCCAGGCACCTTCAGCTGCAGGGGAAGCCGCCCTCACTGCTCTGCTTGTGTGAGGTGGCCACGTGCCCTGCGGGGAGATGCAAAAAGGAGGCTGTGCCTTGCCCACTCCACCGACTTTGTCATCACATTTGACCCTCCACGTATCCCTTCTTCCTGAAGCCCTGGGCGCTGAAGCTGGCTTGGCAGATGCAGTATGTCCCCGCGCTCCCCCCTTCATCTTCCTGGAGGAGCAGGGAGGAGGAGGAGGAGGAGGAGAGCCTGGCACTCGTTGCCATGGAAACAAACTCTCTCTCCTGCTCTGCTGCAAGGTGGTGAGGAGGAGCTCGGGCCGGGCCGTGCCTCTCTGAGCATCAGGATGACACTCCCCTCCTCAACCTGTCTGCAAGCAGAACCTCCCCCAGGCCTTCTTCTCTGACCAGGTACCTCCTCTTGGACAGGAAAAGCCCCACGGTGTTACTTGACAGCAGTCTGGGTTTTGTTCCAAGAGAAGGTATCACAGTTGTATGGCATCTTGGCACTTGACAAAGAATGTCAGAACATATTCCAGAGTCTTGTCTCTTCACCAACTTCAATCTTCATTCTCATCCTGCTGCCTCCCCCTACAAAGTCTACCCCTGTTTCCAGGAAGGCAGTCTGCCAGCTGGTGCAGAGTCCATTGTCTGACTCCAGCCCTTCCCTAGACTGAAGTATTTAGTTCCTATTCTGTGTCTGGGATGCCCTACAGGGACTGTTAAAGGCCCTTGCCTCCTTGAGTAGGAAGGAGATTTGAGAAGATATGGTTCTTTGGGGAATAAAACCAACTTCACAGTGTTCCTTTGGCACTCAGTGACTGCTCCCATAACCACAAAATTGTGCACCTTTCCTTGCCTCTTCTCGGTTAACAGCTTTTTTTCTACCGTGAGAATCCATAACAGATTTGGAAGGTTGTCTGATGGCAGAAATACTCAGAGGATGTTCCCATGACAGCCCCAGGTGCATGAGGTAATGTGGCATCAGTGAGGGAAGGCAGGCACTGCCTGACAGCCCTGGTTTGCTCCTCCCACAGGTGACCAGGTAGCTGGGATGCTCGCTGTTGCTGTGGCCTCCAGTCGAACCCTGGAAGTGCTGGACTTGGAGGGAACAGGACTTACCAACCAGTCAGCTCAGGTATGGGAGCCCACAGTAACTCTACAGCATCACTGACACCTCACAGGCGCAAGTCTGGGATGACTGCAGAGGCCCCAGGACCCACACCTGCCTCCAGCCACACACTGGAGTTCACATGCACCTCCTTCCCTCCCTGCACCCAGAGGGGTTCTTGATTTCCCCTGGCCATTTTCTTGGATTTTTGGAGGTTGGATTTTTGGCTGAGAATCAGAACTAAATCTCTGTAGACAAACACAGGCCAAGACTCAGTTGCAGACTCTCCTCCCAGAACTCCAGCTTCCAGTGGTAAGAGGGAATGGGGCTCGATATGTGACAGCAAAGTGTAGAGTAGTCATTTCTTCTTTAGATAGAGACAGAAAATACAAGCTCAGCTCTTCTCACAGGAAGATGGGAAGTCCTCAGTCTCTCATAAAGCCTGATGAAGGGAGGTCAAGGCCAAGGGAAGATAGAAGTAAGGAGAGAAGGGCTGGAGTTTGCAGGGAGACAAAGCACTGACACTCTTTCCACTCAGCCTTTGTGATGCTTGTCAGCCTATTTATCTCACTCTCCCCCCAGACCTTGCTGGACATGGTAGAGAATTACCCCACAGCCCTTCGGACACTCATCCTGGCAGAGAACAACATTAGTCCTGAGCTGCAGCAGCAGATCTCTGATCTTCTCTCAGAGGGTGAGGAAGAGGAAGAGACAGAGGCCCATGAAGTAACAGCCAGGGAGAAGAACCCCTGGATCTGCCAGAACAGTAAGAGCTCTGGGAGCTGGGTGGGGGGGTTGGTGAATGGGTCTGTCCCTTCTCCCCTGAACTGGAATACATACAACCTCCGTGGAATACATCCACCTCCCGGCATGACCTTCGTGTTAAATAGCGTTGGGCTGCACCACTCTTGGAAAGGCAGCCTCCAAGGACAATGCAGCTGCCGCAAAGAGTGGAAATGGTACCTCTGAGGCATTTTCCTTGATGCTGCAGGAATGAAATCTGAAAGTCTTAAAACTCAAGGGCGGGAATATTAAAGATCTTGGGAGCCTTTGCCAGATACCCTAGCCAAAACTTGTGTCATTCCTCACTGTTTCCAGAACCTCCCTGCAATCCGCATAGCATCAGCTGTTCCTATCTCTACGTCCCAAACATGTGAAGGGTTAGCCAGGTGCCACCGTCTGCCTGTTGCTTGTAATGGAAAAAAGGTGTTTTACAGAGATAGCAGTAGCCTGATCTGTGTAGTTTGCGTATATGATATTGTATTTTGTCATGCCTACCTTGTGATCCAGCTGGTTTGAGGGTTTGCTTTTTTTACCTTCATTTGTCCTTTACCCCTCACAATTTCCATATCAGACTACCTGCAGACAAGCACAACCAATCCTTGAGCCTCAAAACATCTGGATTCTCATCTATTAAACCCATAAAAAAAAAATTTAGTGACAGTTTGGCCAAGTTTTGCATCTAGTTTCCAGAAACTGATTCCTGAAATAGGGATTCCCCCTGCAGTAGTTTTGAATGTGCAGGACTGACACTAGAGATCTCCTCCCTCCCATCCAGGAAAAAAAATATATTTTTGGGGGGTTTCAAAAGGCTTTTGGATGGGAAACTGGTATCCTGCTAAGTTTCTTACTTGCTATGCGGGCCCATTCTCCTTGCAGATGATTCACTTGCTGTGGGGAGAGTCACAGTGTTCCTGGCTGTTGCTCTGAGCCATGGCAGAGCCAGCAAGCTGCCCTCACCTCCCCAAGACAGGCAGGAGAGGGCTGCACAAACCCTCCATTCATGCAGTGCAGAAAGTATTTCCAGGCCTCTGCTGCTGTAACATGGCTGATTGCCCACAACATTCCCTGCTCTTGGGAAGGCAACGCCACCACCCTGTGTGGTGTTGGTTGGCTCGCAGCCTGAAGCCTGCCCCACCTGGACACTGTCTCTCTACTGAAAAACACTTGATGAGTGCAGATTTAAAGGCCTGTGCGGGGCTGGGTAAGGGCACAGATGGGCCAGCACAACCAGGATCACTTGCATGTCGGGGGTACTCGGACCTGATGTTCCTCTGGCCTCTTGCTGCTGTCTCTGCTTTCTCCCCCTCCCCAAAATTCGATTCTGTTCTGCTGTGTGGCCAGAGCAGGCTTAGTTCCTACTTAATCTCACACTTCTTTCAGCAGTTCTCTTCCCACCCCGCGGTGTTTTAATTCCTCATCCTCACCTCTGGATCTGGACTACAGCCCTGCGCTCTCTGACAGCCCGAACGGCTCACGCTTCTCTCCCTCTCTCGCCACAGATTCCAGCTCCCAGATGGTCCTGATGACGTCGGGGCTCGGTGACAGCCTCTTAGCAGAAACAGAAATGTAGCTGGGCTACCCTGCCTGCTTCTGCCGAGGACAGCTCCGTGCACCCTCCAGCCCCAGCTCCGCCGGGCTCCCCAGCCCTCTTCTCACACATTTCACCTCCTGCCGATGCCTCCCTCGGCTCTGAGCGCAGGAGCCTGGTCAAAGCGAATCTCTCTCTACACGCGTCTCTGTCGCCACACGCCGCTTGTGCTTGTCCCCGTCGCCGCATGTGTAGCTCACGCCGCCCTGCCACCCCCGCGCCCGGCTGCGCCCGCAGGGCGCCGGCTGTATTTATTCAGATGTGTATAAGAGATGTCCTTTTTATCGCTTGTACTGCTGTCGCGATGAGACTTTTATAAAGGTCACAGATGTGGTGGCACCACTCGGCAGCGTCCGCCTCCGCCACTGTGCGACCCCGGGAGGGCGGGCCCTGGCAGGTATCGAGTATGGGCAGAGAGCGGCAGATGCGGGCAGGGGCTGGGAGGTGGCGACAGCGACGGGCAGGGACAGGCAGGGACGGGCAGGGACAGGCAGGGACGGGCAGGGACAGGCAGGTGCCCGGCACGGGCAGGGACAGGCAGGGACGGGCAGGGACA